ATCAGGATAGTCAGCACACACTGCTCTAAACGGTGGTCACCGTAGCTTCCATGGGAGGCATCGTCCCTCATTGCTGTGCTGAGAACAGCTGCTGGGGCGGTTGAAGAGGGACTTGAAGAAATCGAGTCACTGTGCAGTGAGGAGAAATCCCTTGGGCACTGGCTGAGCTGCAGCTCCAGAGCAGCCTTCAGGCCTGGAAGTAGGGTGACAGAGCCCCCACCCAGTCTGCCGCCTGGCCCTTGGTGATCTGACACCGGCAGGCCTCAGAGACCCCTCTTCCCAGCCTTCCCCTCTAACTTCCCAGGCCAAGGAGGCCTGGGACAAGCTGAACCAGGAACATGTGGTCACCCTAGCAACCGCGGGTAGCATGGGACAGCCCTGCCTGCTCCACTGTGCCCACCCAAGCAGATGGGGACAGCCTGAGAAATGTGAATAAAATGTTTTCATGGTGTAGGGCAGAACAGCTGCAGGAGCCCTGAGAATCCCCAGCCAATCCAAAATCTAGTGACATTCTGTCAGTATGCGTTTGTGTACACACATGTTCAGACTACCGCTTCAACGGGAAGGAATGAACACCCTCCTGTCCCACAGCCACTTCTCACAGGGAGGCCAACCTGGGGCTGCATTCAAGAGTTTGTGTAAGGCTGAGGATGTGGAATTCCACACCTTTTTGCCTCAGCTCTGGGTGGACAGGATGCCTGGAGGGGACGCTGTGGGGCAGACGGGCCTCACTGGTTTTGCCACACACAGCTCTTGTGGAACTGGTTCTGTGGCTATCGACAGGTCACTTGGTCTCTCTGAGTGACCGAATAATGGAGAATTAAATGCTGTCTGAGGTCCATTCTAGCTCCCTTGTCTCTAGATCTGTTTCTAACTGTGTCTGCCCTACCCGAATTCCATCGGAGCTCAGTCACCGCTGCCATAGTTTGAGTCTGGAGGAGCCTTTTTCTTGGACCCTTGCCTCAGTGCGGGGCCCTTTGTCTCCACAGCAGAGACCCCGTCTATTTATTGCCCTTTTCACTGCAGGTGTCAGCCAGTCCCGTGTTTGAGGATTCTTGGGTGATACAGGGTGGGGACAGTTGGAATCAAGGCCTTGGGAGAGGGACAAGCGAGGACAGACCCCAGGCAGGCGTGCTCCTTTCCCCAAGGAGTCTCCTCCTCCTGACAGACACTGCCCCTCCCCCAAGCACTTTCCAGTAACGTGCTGCCCTCTGCAGGCAAGAAGCCAAGAGGGAAGAGACCCAGTCCTTTCTTGCAGCCTGGGCTCAGCCTAGAGGCCCCTCAGGTCTGGAGCCCCACTGCAGAATACTCGGAAGCAGGACCAAAAGAAGACTACGGGAAATGGGAGGGGAAGGATGCCAGGGACATGACTGAAGCCCGGCTATCCTGGGAGCTGTCTTCAGTAGAAGAAAGCATATTGTTCCCTGCTCAAGAGACCCCAGACCCAGGAGTGGCCTGCGAGGGTCATCCTGCCTCTCAGAGCACCAGCTTCTCATCTGTAGGAACCCCAGCTGTTCACCTGCCATAGAGGACCCATCCCAGAACAGCTAGCATGGCCATCCCCGAGCTTCTCACAAAGGTCCCCAGGGCCCAGCAGGGAAAATATTGACACTCTAGCAAATGGCTGAGAGCTCTTTACCCCAGGTTCGAGACACCTGTGCTGGAGCAGAGTCCTTCCTTGCAGAGCCCAGGTTTGCCCTGTGCAGCATAGCAGCACTACCCAGCTGTTCCTGTCCTCGGGCGAGGGCATGTGCTTCCAGCACGGTGCTGGCTTGAGGGAGCCCCTCAGGAACAGCAAACATCCTCCTTGTTACCGCCCCTGGCCTGCTTCACTCACACACTCGCTCCAGGCAGGAGAACACAGGACAAGAGGCGTTTTCCCAGCCTTTCTGATAGGTGGAGGTGGATGCTGTCTTCTGTTTACTCTGGGTTGTCTCTTTCAATTCTGTCCTCTCCTAAGGCAGCTGTTGTTGCTAACGCTATAGAGCAGGACCCAGGACACTCAAGGAAGGCCAGCTGGTGGGAGCTGGACTCTTTTTTTTTGGGGGGGGGCACTTTTTAAAGCATTTATTTATGTGTGTACATGTGTGCTCACATGTGTGCTCACATATGTGCTATAGCCTGCCTGTGAGGATCAGAGGACAGCTTTTAAGAATTAGTTCTCTCCACTGTGTTGCACTCAGGGATCAAACTCAGGTCATCAGGCTTGGCAGCAAGCACCTTTACCACTGAGCCATCTTACCAGTCCCTAGAGCTGCACTCTTGATCTTGGGAAGCTGCTTTCTGGCCCATTATAAGATTATAAGAATTCTATTCCAGGCCCAGTGGCAGTGGTACACGCCTTTAATCCCAGCACTTGGGAGGCAGAGCCAGGTGGATCTTTGTGAGTTCGAGGCCAGCCTGGTCTACAGAGCGAGATCCAGGACAGGCACCAAAACTACACAGAGAAACCCTGTCTCAAAAAAAAACAAAAACTAAACAAAACAAAATTCTGTTCCCCTAAACTCAGTTGACTCACTTTCCTATGACTAAATACCTATTTAAAGAGAATTTTAAACTCTTACCCACCAAGCCATTGCCCTGCTCCAGTCTTGGAGCTTTTAGTCCTGAGACTGAATGACCCTCTTGCTTTGGGTCTGTGGTGAGGCAGCACATTGTGGGGGCAGCATGTGGTGGACCAAAATGCTTCACTCATGAACCAAGGAGCAAGGAGAGAACCTCGGCGGGGCCCTCACTTCCTCCCCTTCAAGGACACACTCCCAGTGACCTAAAAAATCTCTCACTAGATCCTGCCTCCTAAAGGTTCTGTCAGCTTCCTCCTGTTACTAACCCTTTAAAACGTGGAGGACTGAGAACCATTCAGGATTCACGGTGTGGCAGGTCCTACAGTCCCCTTTCAGGGCAGTGCAGGTCTCTGGGTAAGGAGCTGTGGCCCTGGCTCCACTCTTGAGCTGGTTGCCTGGTCCCTGTGGGTGCCAGGAACAAAGGGCGATCGAAGGTTGTGTGAGAAGGAGGCCCAGCGAGAGTCCTGTTGTGCCCTGAGCAGACAGGATGCTCAGGAAGGACCTGGAGGTGGGGGAGCGGGCAGATGCACTTAACCAGTCACACAGTGGGGCCTATCTCCCGGAGAAAGAGAACGGCTCATTTGGGGAAACTGCAAAGAATTTGAATATTAGGGACCGGGGAGGAGAATGGGACAAGAGATGGACTGGCAGCTGAGCACTGGGTGTTACTGGTCGACTCCAGCCTAGACAGCTTTTCAGCGCACAAGGTGACTTCTGAAGTCAGGAACATGTACAGGTGGCTTTGAGGTTCCTTCCTACCCTAAGATGGAGACGTTTTTCCCTAGCATGTTTTCAGTGTCTCCGGGGAGCTTGGCATTGTATGGGGCTGTGGTGGTACTGGCGTTGCCTGGGTCAGCACCTGAACGTAGGAGGGCTTTGCTTTCGGGAGAATTGTCCTTCCTTCCCAATGGGAGATAATGAAGGCAAAGATCTGGCCAGGCAGGTCCTTGAGGATCGTGGGTGTTTTCAAGTCAGCACCTACTATGGAATTTGCCAGCTCAGAGCTTGCTAGGTAGAGAAGAGGAGGGAGCATCGTTCTTGAGCACAGGGTTCACTGTCTCTTGACTGAGCTGGCTTTGGGGTCCGAGTACCCAACATTGCATCTGGGTGCCCAGGTCTTCACCCACCTTCCTACTGCAAAACCAAACCAAAGAGCTCATAGGGAAGAACATGGGCTCTGTAACCAAACCTGGGCTCCCCAGAGCCTGGATCTGGAGCCTCAGCATGGTCCGTGACAGAGAACGGCATGCTGCTGGTGGCCAACCCCACTAGGGAAATGGTTGGTGGGTGTCAGGATGGCTTCATGGGGAGGGAGGCTAGGGGAACTTAAATTTCAGAACTGTGGAGTTGGCTGGGGGCTGGCATCAGATCTGGGTTCCCTTGTGGTTCTGCTATGACTTACTCTGGCTTTGGGCAAGTTCCTTTACGTTTTCAGCCTCTGTTGCCCTGTCTTTAGAGTGGATGGGATTGAGCTAAAGGCAGGGTAGGGTGACAAAGAGATTTCACTTCACTTGCCAAAACTGACTGATGGCTTTTGACCTCTTGGGATCTTGTCTGGAGCAGCCACCTGGGGTCCGGAAAAGCATGCCTCGTTTATGTCCAGCCGTCTGCTGCCTGCCAGTCTGGGATTGGAGGTCTCTGCATGTGCTCTGCAGGTTTGCAGACCCAGCCCTGTTGTCCTCACATTGCTCCTGGCACTGATGCTCTTAGAATGTCCTGTCTCTCTGCCGGCTCCACTTTAACACCATTCATTGTCAACTGTGACTTACACACCTCCATGGTATGGAGCTCACCGCCTTCCCCGAGACAGAATCATTCGATTCTTCTTCCCTGCATGGGACGTAAGTCAGCCTCCCCGAACTTGTGCCTGAAGAGCTGCCATGGGCTCAGGAATAGCGTGATGCCTTGGATTCTTTGGTCATCAGTTTAATTTCTGTCTGCTAGAGGTGTATAGAGCGGCTGCTTTCCAACAGTTTATGACAGTGACAGAGACAGTTGGGGAATGTTCTGTGAAAACATCGGCCCAAAGTGGCTCAGAAGGTAAAGGTGCTTGCTGCCAAGCCTGAGGACCTGAGTTCAATCCCCCAGGACCCACATGATAGAAGGAGAGAACCAACTCCCACAGTTGTCCTCTGGCCTCCAACCACGTGCCATGGTGCATGCTCACATGTATATGCATGCACACGCACACATATCAAATAAATGTAAATTTTAAAAATCATTTATTTTATGCCACAGCCCTGTGAAGCTGGTATTATCCCTTCCGTTTTACAGGCAAGGAAGCCGAGGCTCAGAGAGTTAACAGAGCGGCCTTCTGAGACCAAGTCTGTGCACCTCTCGCCAGATGCTCTCCTGGTCCCCAGTCCTGTCCCCAACCTCCTGTTCTTCTGGCTCCCCTGAAAAGCCCACGGCCTCCCGTTCTCTCGCCCTTCACAGGTTTCCATGTGATCCCCACCATCTCGAGCATCGTCCCGGAGAGCTGCCTGCTGATCGTGGTGGGGCTGCTGGTGGGGGGCCTGATCAAGGGTGTTGGCGAGACGCCCCCCTTCCTGCAGTCAGACGTCTTCTTCCTCTTCCTGCTGCCGCCCATCATCCTGGATGCGGGCTACTTCCTGCCACTGCGGCAGTTCACGGAGAACCTGGGCACCATCCTGATCTTTGCCGTGGTGGGCACACTGTGGAACGCTTTCTTCCTGGGTGGCCTCCTGTACGCCGTGTGCCTGGTGGGCGGTGAGCAGATCAACAACATTGGCCTGCTAGACACCCTGCTCTTCGGCAGCATCATCTCAGCCGTGGACCCCGTGGCCGTGCTCGCTGTCTTCGAGGAGATCCACATCAACGAGCTGCTCCACATCCTCGTCTTCGGGGAGTCCCTGCTCAATGATGCCGTCACTGTGGTGAGGGGGCAGGGGCCACACCCCACGCACACGGGGCACAAGCCACGCCTTACCCTTCCACCGATGATGGGATAGATGGCCAGTGTCCCTCCATGCTTGCGTGTCAGGCACTGCTCTGAGCACTGGAATGTGGATTCCCTCTCTTACTCTTCAGGACAGCCTGGGGAGAGATGTGCTGTTCTTGTCTTTCAGAACCAGGAACAGCCCACGGAAGTTAGACAACTTGCTAGAATGTGGCGAAGCTGAGATGTGAGGCAGTGTGCTTGTCCCAGCCTGTTGCCCTCCAGGACCTGAGCTCTTGGCCTAGCAGGCCATTTGCTCCCTGGCCAGCTTGCATTTTGTTGCTGTCTTGCCCAATCACTGAACCTCTCTGCCTTCTTTTCCTCACAGCCCATTTCATCTCCAAGGAGCCTTTTAGCTCTTGTGTTGGCCATTTAAGAATTTGGTATGTGTAGGCCAGGCGGTGGTGGCGCACGCCTTTAATCCCAGCACTCAGGAGGCAGAGCCAGGCGGATCTCTGTGAGTTCGAGGCCAGCCTGGTCTACAGAGTGAGCTCCAGGAAAGGCGCAAAGCTGCACAGAGAAACCCTGTCTCGAAAAACCAAAAAAAAAAAAAAAAGAATTTTGTATGTGCAGGGTTTGGGGCAAAGGAAATGAGAAGGAATCTGCTCCCCCAAACCTGTAGAACGTGATAAGTGAATTTAGTAGGTCTGGGTTGACTACTTTTGTCTTACGTGACTCTCAGCAAGAGATTCTTCCTCTTCCAGGCCTCTCCGTTGACAGAGTAGTAGTGTTGTCTGCCTCGGGCCAGGCGAGGACCTGCACCTGGCAGAACTGTGTGTGTCTGTGCATGTCTATCAGCCAGTTTCCTCAGGAAGCAGATGTGTGCACTCGCATTCTGTCCCCTCCAAAACTGGGCTCCTAAGAAAGGGTCTGCACGCACAGAAAAACACGAAGACACAGAGGTCCATGCCCAGTCCTGCTGGCACGCACTCTGCCGTCCGTCTCCAGCCCCTTTGGAGGCGACACCTCCATAGAAACAGACTCTTGCTTACCAGCCTCAGCCTCAGCCTCCTCCTGTGCCCCTCGCCGCTTCTCATGCCGCGAGTCTAGCCTGATCATTCAGTGCTCCATCTTGGTCTCTTGTAGCAGCAGCCCCAGCCAAGGGTTACGCACGAGCCTCAGCTCGTGCAGGACACACAGAAGCTAGCCTGTCCTTTTCCTGGGATTCCTATAGGAATTCTGCTTATTAATGTGTGTCTGAAGCCAGTCAGTACCTAGTTGAACCCTCCCCAACTGAGTCTGGCTGTGAATCCATGTTGGCACCACTGGAAACAAAGGCATGCTTGCATCAAGTTGATAGCTCAGATCTGGTGTGTAGGGTCTACGCATGTCCTGACAGTGGTGACCGTGGTGACCGTGTGGCCAGCATTAGGTGTTCCGGTGTGAATGCATCTCGCCTTACCTGGTTTGCAGAGTGACTCTGGCTGTCTTCGTTAGGGTTTCTATTGCTGTGATCAAGTACCATAATCTGAGGATGAAAGGGTTTATTTCAGCTTACAGTCAGGTCACGTCCCATCACCGAGGGAAGTCAGGACAGGAACTCCAGGCAGGAACCTGGAGGTTGGAACTGAAGCAGAAACTGTGGAAGAGTGCTGCTTGTTGGCTTGCTCAGCTTGCTTTCCTGTACAACCCAGGACCACCTGCCCAGAGGTGGTGCCATCCACAGTGAGCTGGTCCTCCCTCATCTGCCTTTTAATTAAAAAAAAAAAAAGCCCCATAGCATTGGCTCCAGGCCGTCTGATCGAGGCCTTTTCTCAACTGAAGGCCTTCTTCCCAGGTAGCTCTAGCTTGGGTAAAGATAGCAAAAAACAACCAGGACAGTGGCATTCTTATCCGAGTGTTACCACATGAAGAAATGGAGGCGTTAAGAGGCTCCACTAGCTGATGAGTGATGCTGCTGGAGTCACATGACACTCCACACACACCCACACAGGCCTACACCATATTCTCTTTTCTGCTTTTCATACCACTGGTCATAGCTCCAGGCTAGAAAGGAAGACCTGGCCTCTACTGTTCCAGTGGCCCATGTGGTAGACTTGAGCACTCATGAGCACCCCAGGCCAGGAGTGGCGTTAGCCTAGGGCGGAGCACACCTGCTGCTGAGGCCCATCCTGCCTCCCAGATAGGCGTGGTCCTCCAGGCAGCCCTGGAGCCCAGCCAGTGCCCAGCATCTAGCCTTCCTGCCAGGCCCAAGTTGGGCCTTTTCTAGAGCTTGGTACAGGTGTGAACACCATATTTCCAAGACAGTGATGCTGCACCTGAGCTGCCTGGCATCGGGTCTCTGTCCTGTCACCTTCTCCTGTCCACCTCCCCTTCCTCCAGGCCTGGAAATTCCCCATCTGGTTCCCGGCAGAGCTGTCTAGGGCTGGACTTGAGTAGACTGGGGAACCACCATGTCAGTCCCTCAGAACAAAACCCATAATGAGGGAGCAAGTTCTGGGCCCAGTCCTGCCCCTTGGCAGGCCCCCCTGGCATGTTAGTTGATATATCTGAGCCTCCCTCTAGCAAGGAGATAGGGATCCTTGGCCTGCATACCAATAAAGATGGTTGGTATGTGACGAGCATTTGTAGACTGTTCCAGGGCTGGGAAACTGTCGGGCCTCCGGCTCCACAGCGCCTGAGCTTGGCTGTTCATTGCAGCTCCCTGGGCAGCTTGTTTAAATGGAGATTTGTCCGTCCCACTTGGTGGGTCCCAGATGACCTGGCCCCATGCGTTGTCAGAGGTTAACAGGTTTGCTGTAAACGTCCTGCTTCGTGCTAACTAACGGAGAGAGAATCCAGAAAGGCCTCGGTTTATACACGCTCAAACAGAGATAAGTAGACTCAGTGGTAGTGGTGGCACCACAGGGAGTATCCTGCTGAGCACTTTCCTAACTTAATTCTGTGACAGCCCTGTGACATGGGCGCTCGCTCCACTTGCTCCCACCGGTGGAAAACTGAAGCACAGAAGACTAGGTCATTGGCCGTGTGTACAAAGGATGGTAGCTTGGCTGCCTAGCTTTAGAGTTTATGTTCGTTACCAGCAGGGTGTGCTGCGGGCCTCCAAAAGAAGGTCCCCAGCCCAGGTTCTGCACATGCTCAGCACTAGGGTTTCCTGCCGCCAGATAGGCTGTATTCGTGGCTGGGGATCGTGGAGGGATGAGATGAGCATGGGTGGGATAACCAGGGAGCCGTGGGACATGGGACCAGGGCCTTGCCCTCCTGCCCACCAGCCTGCCTGCCCTCTCCAGGTCCTCTATCACCTCTTTGAGGAGTTTGCCAACTATGAATATGTGGGCATCTCGGACATCTTCCTCGGCTTCCTGAGCTTCTTCGTAGTGAGCCTCGGTGGGGTGTTTGTGGGCGTGGTCTACGGCGTCATCGCAGCCTTCACCTCGCGATTCACCTCCCACATCCGGGTCATCGAGCCGCTGTTCGTCTTCCTCTACAGCTACATGGCTTACCTGTCGGCCGAGCTCTTCCATCTGTCAGGAATCATGGCGTGAGTCGGGGCGTGGCGGGTTGACAGACTCGGTAGGGGAAGCTCCTTGGCGTGACATCCCCAGATCTGTGTGGTCGCCAAGGAGCTCCCAGCCCCTGGACTCTGGACTCCAGACTTCCCCGGTGTCCCCTGGAGTGGTCCGGGTCATCAGAGGCTGCCCATAGGAACGCTCCAGTAGACTCTGGGATTCAGGAATCCGAAGGTTGTCTGAAAGCAGATGAGGCAAAAGCAACCTGTGTTAGGGCTAGTCTCAGGCCCAGGAGGCAGAATCTCCGTGCTCCCTAGGAAGGTCTCAGTCCTGCCACTCCCTCCCTTTTTCCCAAAGTGAATGACTAGTTGGAAGCTGGCCCAGGCTCCCTGGAAAGAGCTAACCAGCGTGTTACCCCGCCTGAGTAGAAAAGCCCTGAGCTCTCTGCTGAGTTTGAAGTGGGCCATGGGACACAAGTCAGTGAGGAAAAGGAGAACAGAAGTAAAGAGGCCAGTCTAAACTGGGGGATTCTGGGTAGTAGGGAAGAAGCCTGCAAAGGTCCCTAGAGCAGTGCTTCCCAACCTGTGGGTGGTGACCTTTTCACAGGGGTCACCTAAGACCGTCAGAAAACACAGATTTTTACATTACAGTTCATAGCAGTAGCAGAATCACAGTTATGAAGTTCAGTGAAAATAATTTCATGGTTGGGGGTCACCACAACATGAGGAACAACTGTATTAAAGGGTCACAGCATTAGGAAGGCTGAGAACCCCTGATCTAAGGGGACCCTGTGCGTTGGCAGCATCGTACATGGAGGGAAACCCGAGAGACCAGAGAGTCTGTCCCTAGCTGTCATTGGGCAGATGCAGTGTGGCCTTGGGGAAAAGGCCAAGACCTTGGAATTGCACAGACTTTAGTCTCTTGCACTGAGTCACCTCAGCTGGACAATGGAGGTGACCTTATTTTTCTAAAAGTCCCGTCTCTTGTCTGCAAAATACAAGAATTCCCTGGCCCTGTGTGTCAAGGAGACACAGTGGGTATCTGGTCCTTCCGAGTTGCCTGGTGAGCAGGTGGGTGGTCAGCCTGTTCATAGTGGGTGCAGCTCACGCCTGAACCCTCTTCTTCCTCACCCCAAGACTCATCGCCTCGGGAGTAGTGATGCGCCCCTACGTGGAGGCCAACATCTCCCACAAGTCACACACCACCATCAAGTACTTCCTAAAGATGTGGAGCAGCGTCAGCGAGACCCTCATCTTCATCTTCCTCGGAGTCTCCACCGTGGCCGGCTCCCACCAGTGGAACTGGACGTTTGTCATCAGCACCCTGCTTTTCTGCCTCATCGCCCGGGTACTGGGTAAGGGCCAGACCCAGGCCAAGGGAGACATGTGTGTATGCGCCCCGCGTGAAGGAGCCAGGCTGAGGAGGGGCGACGTCCATACAGTGTGAGGCTAGGTTGTGGGGTGTGGATGTGTGTTGGTGTTTCTACGAGCTGGACTGTGGTATGTGTGTGTGGTGAGGTGTATAAGATCTGGGCTCTAATGTGTCTAATGTGTATGACACACAGTGCTAGCTGGGTTGTGTTCTATGGTACAGTATGTAAGGGAATGGGCTGTGGGTGTCTTCCCCGTCCCTCTCTACATTTTTTAGGTTTTTGTTTGGAGTTTTTTATATTTGTTTGTTTGAGACAAGATCTTACTATGTAGACCAGGCTAGCCTAGACCTCCTGGTAATCCTTCTGCCTCAGCCTCATGAGTGCTGGGATTACAGGTGGGATTTTTATTGTTGGCAAGCAGGTTTTGTGTGTGTGTTTTGTGATGCTGGGGATCAAACCGAGGGCCTCATGCACGCAGACCAAGCACTCTTCTGCACCCCTCCTCACAGCCTGCACTGAATTATGGTTTATTAGGGACAATTCCCAGTATATAGAAAAGAGAGGTAACAGGACCATTGTCTCCTTCCTGCTCCGCTGTTTTAATAAGTAACAGCACATTACCATTCTGTTGTCTCCTCCCATCCCTTGACCTGGAGCCTCTGAAGGCCTCTGGGATATCTTCAGAACAGGTGCAGGTTGAGGAACTCTTTAAAGGCCCACTGAGGTCCTGGGGGGAGGGACCCAGGAAGGGAGGGAGGGAGGTGGGCTTAGTGGAGGGGCTCGCGGACAACCTGACCTCCCCTCTGCCTGCTCGCTGGCAGGTGTGCTGGGCCTGACCTGGTTCATCAACAAGTTCCGCATTGTCAAGCTGACCCCCAAGGACCAGTTCATCATCGCCTACGGGGGCCTGCGAGGCGCCATCGCCTTCTCCCTGGGCTACCTCCTGGACAAGAAGCACTTCCCCATGTGTGACCTGTTCCTCACGGCCATCATCACCGTCATCTTCTTCACCGTCTTCGTGCAGGTGCTGGGCCTGGCCGGGCGCGCCCCTGCCTTGGGGAGCCTCACTCTTCTGGTGGAAAGAGGAAAAGGGCTGTGGGTACCCTGTCGTTGACTTGCCGCATGGCTTTGGTGGCCTCAGTCCTCAGTTGTGGTAATGTGACATTGTGAAGTCAGTGATTAGCATGTGAAGTGACCAGAGTGCTGCAGTGCTGCCCTACGTCATTAGGAGCCACTGGTGTGACGTGGGCAGAGCCACTGACGTGACTGGGCAGCTGGCAGGCCTGAGACCTGACTGCCTAGTGGTTCAGGGTTTGTCGTCTCCAGCAGCACAGCACAGGCAGCTGGACCATCTTTTGAGCCAGGAAGCCTGAGGCCCGGACTGAGCCTAATGCTTCACTAGCTGTGTTTCTTGGGGAGACGCACCTGCCTGTGTCTCCGTCCCCATTGGTGAAGTGAGGAGACTGGGCTATATGATCCCAAGAGTCCTTCAAGCCTGCGGGCCAGTGACTTCTGAGCATTTAAATGACCCAGGCTTAGCAGAGCTCCACCCCTGTCTCTAGCCACCCTCCCCAAGGGAGGCCCGTGTGGGATGTTGCACACTACTCTCCCATAGCTGACTGACCTGGAACAGGTGAGAAACTCTGTTGGGCGTCCATTTCTCTTCCATCCTCTGTCTTTCCTGGGCACTAGTCCTCACAGAGTGCCAGATGGACACACCTTTGCTTTTTCATGAGAAAAAGATATGGAGAGCCCTCTTGGAGTGGGGTGCAGTTTCTGTCCTTTTACAGGAACGAGCTCCTCTTTGGCCTCTTGCTCTGTTCCGTCCTCAAAAACACTGCTTTATCTTGACTTTGCTGTTGAGCCTGTTTGGTGGGTTTCCAAGCCCGCTTTCACTGAAGGTGGCCTGGTGCTGACTCCCTTGAGCCAGCCTGACTCTGGGTCTGCTGCTTCTGGCCTTAGGAAATCACTCAGCCTCTCTACTGTCGGTTCCCTCATCTGTAAAATGGGAACATTTTAAGGAGCCATCTTTCAGGGATATTGCAGGTATTGTAGCACAAGTACTAGTGAACACGTAGAGCCTGTGAGGGAGGCAGGGCAGAGGTAGTTCTCTGTCTGCAGGGCAGGACTCCTTGGGCTGCAGAGCAGATCTGTGGTGGAGCCCGCACTGAACCCAGGCCCCAGCTAGATGGGCAGTGAGGCTTGTTGGGGGAGTTGAGCTGTCAGACCTCTGACTGCTGACTCCAGGAAGAGGTGGGCTTTAGAGACCTGCCTTTGTTCACACACTGAGGTAGAGAGTTATCAGCCCCCCAGTCCTGGGGGATGGAGGACCTCAAAGGGGAGGTGCTCTTTGCCTAGGAGGCCCTCAGGAAGAAGGGAGGTTCCTCAGCCTTCTTGCCGGGTGGCAGAGCCAGGATATCTGATACTCACTTGCCCTCCAGGGCATGACCATTCGGCCCCTGGTAGACCTGTTGGCTGTGAAGAAAAAGCAAGAAACAAAGCGTTCCATCAACGAGGAGATCCACACACAGGTACTGGGGGCTGGGCTGGGCCTTGGGTTGCAGGAGAAGGCTGCAGGAGCTGGAGCCCAGCTGGGCCTTAAGCCCGCCTTCCCTCATCCCAGTGCTAGGTCTCAGTCTCTCAGCCCCCGGGCCCCCTGCCAAGCTCTAGCTGAAGGGAAAGTGTGGTGTGAGCAGTTGGGAGCCCTAGAGGCTGTTACACCATCCCTGCCTCTGCTTGAAGCCACGCAAGTGGGTTCAGAGAGGAGGTGCTCACCAGTGTGTGGCCTGGGCTTCGGGATGAGTAAGGGGAAGGCGCCACCTCCTGGCTACTCCTGGAACTACAGGGCCAGCTAAGCAGACCCATAGTTGGGGTAAAGGAGGGTCGGGTAGGGAAGGAACCCAGTAGTAAGGCTTGACCTGGCCCTGGGCCCATTTCAGTTCCTGGACCACCTTCTGACAGGCATCGAGGACATCTGTGGTCACTATGGCCACCATCACTGGAAGGACAAGTAGGTGAAGGTCTGGTGGGCAGGAGGGGGGGAGGACAGTTCAGGGTCCTTGGGGGCCTGGACATCTTCTCATGTCTAGGAGCTAGCCCCACCTGCCTCCCTCCTCCCACAGGCTCAACCGGTTCAATAAGAAGTATGTGAAGAAGTGTCTGATAGCCGGTGAGCGCTCCAAAGAGCCCCAGCTCATTGCCTTCTACCACAAGATGGAGATGAAGCAGGCCATTGAGCTGGTGGAAAGTGGAGGCATGGGCAAGATCCCTTCCGCTGTCTCGACCGTCTCCATGCAGTGAGTGCCACTGGCCAGCCTGGGCAGCATCTGCACCCACGTTAGCTCCCCAGCCCTAGCCCGGGGTGGCCACCGGGGCTACGCTCCCACTGCCAGAATGGAGACCTAACCTGTGTTCTGTTGTCCCAGGAACATCCACCCCAAGTCCGTGACTTCAGATCGCATCTTGCCGGCGCTGTCCAAGGACAAGGAGGAGGAGATCCGCAAAATCTTGAGGAGCAACCTGCAGAAGACCCGGCAGCGGGTGAGGTCCTGCCCAAGCCTGGCACCTGTTCTGTATCCCCTGCCCTGCTCCCACCTCCCACACACCCAGAGCCTCCCTGGCCCTGGCCTTCCAGCCCAGCTTCTGAGTCCTTCTCTCCCTGATGGTGCTTCCTCCCTCAGCTGCGGTCCTACAACAGACACACGCTGGTGGCCGACCCCTACGAGGAAGCCTGGAACCAGATGCTGCTCCGGAGGCAGAAGGCCCGGCAGCTGGAGCAGAAGGTGCGTGTCAGGCCGGGCCTGCCTTCCTCACATGCTGGAGGCTGGTTCCTCCTCCTGCCTCTCACCACAGGGCACCTCAGGCTCTGCCGAGCTCCGCTGAGGGCATGCACCTACTTCAGACACAGACAACAGATCGTGAGGTTTATTAATGGTGTGAGGCTTTGGGCCTCATCCCCTGAGGAGTGATGTGGGGAAAGGGTGGGGGTGGCAGGGAGAGAGAGAAAGACGTGAACACAAGGGACACTGGGAAATGGAGCTAGCAAGACTGAGTGACTGGGTTACTAGTTTGAGGTGGGGCCACTGGGGTGGAAAAGGAATCTGAAGGGGGTGGTAGAGGTCACAGAGTACCCAAGAGGGAACAAGGCTTGTTGAAAGGTAAGGAGCTGAGCTCAGTTGTGATGTATTGGGTTTGCAGTGCCTGGGGCCGTACAGGATTTAGGTAGGCATGCCAGTCCAAGTTTTTTTATTGCTATTGTTCTATTTTTTTTTTTTTTAATCTAGAATCTTGGGGTCAGATGTGGGCTGGAGACAAGGCTAGCACAAAGTAGATCTGTTTGAGTCTGCTCACGTCAGTGTGGGTGCTGGCACAGGCAATGGGAGCCCATTGAGGAACCACTGCCCCAGTGTCCTCCAGAGTACTTCTGCCAGCCCACTGCCACACTCACCCTGTCCTCTCTCTGTCAGATCAGCAACTACCTGACGGTCCCGGCCCACAAGCTGGACTCACCCACCATGTCGCGGGCCCGCATAGGCTCAGGTAAAGGGCTAAGGAGGGGCCCTCAGGCTGGGTGTTTTGTGCCAGGGACAGGCCTCAGTGTCACAGGGCAAGACGGGCCTTCCCCATCACGACCACTTCTCAAACACTGAGTTATGTCCACGTCACAAGGGGCTGGGTGTTCACAGAGAGGGCAGCATAGCTCTGCTGTCGAACCCGGGCACCAAGGTGCTGCCCGTGGCACTCAGGATGAGGACTGCCATGGAGCCACAACGGAGCACCTGACAGGGAGGCAGAAGTCACTAGTCCATGAAGAGAACAGGGACAGGCCTAGGCCTACAGCTCATGACTCAGGGAAAGGCCCTATTTCTTTCTTTGTTTTTTTAAAATTTATTTAACTTTATTTTATGTGCATTGGTGTGAGGGTGTCAGATCCCCTGGAACTGGAGTCATAGACAGTTATGAGCCGCCATGTGGGTGCTGAGAATTGAACCCTGGTCCTCTGGAAGAGCAACCAGTGCTCTTAAGCTCGGAGCCATCTCTCCAGCCCAAAGCTCTATTTCTTTTTTTTTTTTTTTTTTTTTGGTTTTTCGAGACAGGGTTTCTCTGTGTAGCTTTGCGCCTTTCCTGGAACTCACTTGGTAGTCCAGGCTGGCCTCGAACTCACAGAGATCCGCCTGGCTCTGCCTCCAGAGTGCTGGGAAAAGCTCTATTTCTTAACCTGTGGGACACCAGTGGGAACCCCTGATCCAAGGAAAGCAACCATCTGATAGAAGAGCAGCTGGTAGCAGGGGGTCACTTGGCCCATGTGGACAAAGTTGTGAGGCCCATAGACGTGGTTGCATTCATGGGAAGATCTGAGAGCCGCTAGTAGAGGCTGAAGGGGCCCTGGAGGTGTGGCACATCCTGAGCAGGGCTCAGGGCAGAACCGTCTGTCCTTTCCTTTCAATCCACAGATCCACTGGCCTATGAGCCTAAGGCAGATTTGCCCGTTATCACCATCGACCCAGCCTCCCCACAGTCGCCTGAGTCTGTGGACCTGGTTAATGAGGATTTGAAGGGCAAGGTCCTGGGGCTAAACCGGGATCCAACAAGGGTGACTCGGGAGGAGGAAGACGAGGATGAGGATGGCGTGATTATGATGCGGAGCAAGGAGCCCTCATCCCCGGGCACCGACGACGTCTTCACCCCTGGACCAAGTGACAGCCCCAGCTCCCAGAGAATACAGCGCTGCCTCAGTGACCCAGGCCCCCACCCTGAGCCTGGGGAGGGGGAGCCTTTCATCCCCAGAGGCCATTAGAGCCAGGCCCGTGGGTGTCCATGGACTCTCCCACAGAGTGGGGGCTGGGAGCTCCCTTGCCTCCTGACCTGGATCGGCCCTGCCCCCTTCCCACGCATGGCAGCTGGGTCCACAACCCCCCCGCTGCAGCACGGCTCGCCCCTGCCTCCTGGGAAGTGTCCTCTCCCACCAGTACTGCCTGCCCAATCCACTAGGCAGAACAGCTGGGCTGCTGAGGCAGGCCCCGCCCCATCTCGAGATCCAGGCTCTCCCATACAGGAACCAGGGCTCCACGAGGCCCTCCCTTCCCGCAGCCCCCTCCTCATCCAGACCAATTTTCCATCTTTGATCATCACTTATAACCAAAGAGCCACTGGTTCCACTGTGGTCCTGCCAGGAAAGGAGGGAGCTGAACCTTCCTTGGCCTTGACCAGGCCCTCCCGTATCTGAGGACAGCAGGCATGTGGCTGGGAGACAGATGGGTGACCCATGGCAGACCCACACTACTCCTGCCAGCCATGGCCCCCCTGGCCAGCTACCTGAGCTGCCCTCACTCAGAGCTGCAGGCTGAGGGCACCTCTGAGCTCCCTGCTGGGAACTGGGTGATGGAACAGTGGCGGGACTTGGGTGATGAGGACCACTGGGCCTTTCTGGGGCTGCGACATGGGAGGGACTGTCCGAGGCTCCAGAAAATGCCACCTTTTTACATTTGGTTTATTCGCACCTCCACGTAAGTACGGTTCTGTTTGCACAGAGGCACTCCTGTTTTTAGACCCTTTGAGACCCCCACACCAGTCAGAACTCACCCCCTACCCCCTCCTTCCTTCATGCTGTCTAACACCTCCCCTTCCCTAGATCGAACCTCTGCCTGCCGGGCTCTATTGCCCACAGCACTGGTTGAGATGTGGCCCAACATGAGCAAGGGCCTCCTAGCACCCACCTTGCTCGAGGGTCTGCCTTTACTTCTGTTGGCCTGTTCCACCACCACCCCTTATCCAGACCACCTGCATACCCAGCCTGCAGTGAAGCCCAGCCTGGGCATAGGCTTCCCCCAGGGTCTCCTGTCCTGGCCAGGGCTGCTGGAGTAGACAGTACTGGACCCCAGAGGCCTTTGCTCACAAGCACATACTCCCTTCTGCCCTCATGGCTGGCCAAGCCAATGGGCATCTGCCCAACCCCCAAGCACTCCCTCCCCAGGATTGTGCAGTAGTCAGAGGGGTCCCTCCCAGGGGATGGGGCCACGGGTGCTTGGCCCAGCTGTCTCCTCTCCATGCAAGTGCTGTTTAGGGCAGGAGTTGCCATGCAAGGTGACAGCGACAACCATGTACAAAGCCACCACAGCTGCCGCCGCTCTGCCGCCTGTACAGAAGAAACTGAACCTTTTTCATATTCTAATAAATCAATGTGAGTTTTTTATAAGAGTCAGGGCTGCTTCCTGGGAAGGAGGGCACCAGAGGAACTAGGCTCAAAGACTGGCACAGAAACACTGCCACCATCAGCTGCCAGTGGGGTTGGTACTGTGGGCCAGGTGCTGGAGATACGGTGAGGTGGGGTAGCATGTCTGCACTCAGGGCCTCAGCTTGGTGCTCACACAGCTGGAAAGCCCTGGTGTGTCAGCAGGGCATTGTCAAGGAGACTCCTGCTGGTACCCCGGAACTGACACCTGGGAGACATGCAGGCCTGAGGAAGGCCAGTGGGGGGCGTTTCTCCGCTGGAATTCCTCCTACTCTTGTGAGTGTTCTTACTCTTCCTTAGTGAGTCTGTTTGCTCGGCTTGATAAAAGCAGTGTGTCTGGCTCAGAGGAACAGACGGGACGGACGGACGGATGGACGGGACCTTGTAGTTTATGGTTGGGATCTAAGGGCAGTACAGAGTCTCTGAAGCCCTGTGTTCTCACCTGGGAAATAGAGGCTGTACCCTGTTGGACCTAAGGATTGTGTGTAATGCAGAGCTGGGAACTGAGCTGCATTTCCAGTAGCTGACCACCAGAGGGCAGTGAGGTCTCAGCACAGAGGAACCTGTGCTGGCCAAGAGGCTCTGCCCAGCCTGGGACCTAGATTCAGAGCTGACTTAAGATGTCTGAAGCAGGCCATGCCAAAAGGATTATAGGAAAGGACCACACTGCATTCCTGTATTGATGTCCTACCAGGGAACAGCTGTAACACTCAGAAGGTGCTGGCAGCGTTATGGATACCCATCAGGGATGAGGCCCAATAGATCTCACTTTAGGAAAACATGACCTCCTGCCCCCCCCCCCCCCCACTCTGCCTGCCCCCAGGAGGGAGCAGAAGTAGGAGGATTCCTTGAGGCCAACCTGGGACTCCATGGCCACACCCTGTCTCAAGGATAACAACAGTAAAAGGTTCTAGAGCTGAAGGTGAGAAAAGAACTGTGGTTGTGGAAGCTGCTGTCCAGCCAGGGCTGTGCTGTGGCCACAGATAACAGCACAGCTGCCCGTGGATGCTCCAGAGGATCCAACCCCTCTGGCCACTGCACACACATGGTGCCCATCAACTCACACCGGCGTACACATATACATACGTAAAAATATAAATCTCACAGGCGGTGGTGGCACACACCTTTAGTACCAGCACTCAGGAGGCAGAGGCAGGTGGATATGAGTTTGAGGCCAGCCTGGTCTACAGAGAGTTCAGGGACAGACAGAGCTACACAGAAACCCTGTCTTAAAAAAACCAACAACACTAAGAAAGATTTTTATGTCAATTTTTCTTTAACTAAGGGTGGGGGAAACAGCTTCATCCTCAACACAGGAAACAAAATCTTGGCAACACTGCATCCTCGTCATCCTTCAGTCCTACTTAGGGATTAACTTGAAACATTAATCCTCAGAAACTGAGTATAGTGACTCACACCTCGAATCCCAATAATCCCAATACTCAAGAGGCCGAGGCAGGAGGACTGCCATAAGTTTGAGGCAGCCTAAACTATAGAGGGAGACACTAAAATAATTGGCTGGGAGTATGGCTCAGTGGTTAAAGAGCTTGCCAGACAGCATAGGGACCAAGTTTAGACCCCCAGTATACATGTAAAAAGTCAGTTTGACAGTGGGTTGGGTGGGGGGATTATCCCTGGAGCCCGATGGCCAGCCACCCTGGTGTGCTTCAGGTTTAGAGAGAGACCCTGTCTCAAAATTAAAGTGGAGAGGGATTGAGGAAAACACCTAATGTTACACACAGAAACGTATAAAGTTTCGTCATTGGGGCTCCTTGGGACAATAGAACACAAAAACAGAAAACTTGAGCAGCCTTCGTTTTATGGCTGGTCACAGGAGACCTTCGATGGCACTTCCCTCATTACTTCAGATACAGGGAGAGTCTCAGTGTGTATTCCTGCGCCTCAGCCTCTTGAGTGTTGGGATTAAAGCATGTGCCACCATGTCTGGAGTTTCTGTTCTTACCATGGGTGATGCCATGGCTGACTGGGGTTTTTACCTGGTGGGCTGAAGTAGGAGGATTCTTTGAGTCCTCCCTGGGGCTCCCTAGCCTCCCCTGTCTCAAGAATAGCAATAATATCCAATTCTAGAGCTGGAAGGTTGGGAGGAGGGACCTGTGACTGTTGTGTCTCTTTCCCTGTGTGTTTGCCCTTGGCACTGCTGTGATGTTTGTTGGGTTCCCTGGGCCCCCACAGCTAAGGGTCCCAGGAGTACTGGGAGGCCTCTGGTGAACCCGATGATTCCAGCCAGTCTTTCTGCCCACCCCCCATTGTATAGTAAAATTTAGTGTCCTGATAACCCAGACTAATTATCCTATAGCCGGTGCACTTGACCCTCCTCCTGCCGTTGACTGAGCCACATAGAGTTCAGCATGACCACAAGTCAAGGGACTGAAGACAGGAATCCCTCCAGGAGGTAACTTAGAGACCCTCCTACATAGAATTCCTTATTCCCCATGCTTGTGAAGCTGGGCTTCGAGAACAGAGGTACCGTATACTGGCTCTTTTGAAGCATGTGCTGCATCATTGCCCATCAGAGGCCCAAACTTAGGGTGAAGTCTCCCAGCTTGCAGTGTTCTGTCCCGTCAGTACTGCTGATGGTGTACATCAAATGGCAGTAGGTAGACAATGAGAGGCATTCTGTAGAATCCAGAAATTCGGTCCTGGTGAAAGCAACCAGGTGGGAATGCAAGTGGCGTCATTAGTATGCACTTAGACCCTGGGGTCATCAGTATGCACTTAGACCCTGAGGCGATAATTGCTCCTTCACAAAGAAAGTGGTGTCAACCTCCCAACAGCAAGGAGCTGCTACCCCTAGGGCGATGGTTCTCTTCCCAGCCCCTAATCTCCCTATTTTTAAAGTCTTCTGCTTGTGTGAACTTGTGTTCCCACGCCCAGTTTTGCATAAAGAACTAGCCTAGAGGTGTGCCGCTGTAATCTCAGCACTGGGGAGGTGGAGACAGAAGCCCAGAGGCTGGCCAGCCAGTCATTCTAGCTGAATCAGCAAGCTCTGCTCCTTGAAAGTCCCTGCCCCCAAAATAAAGTGTAGGAGCAATTCCTAGTGGCACACTCCTTTAATCCCAGCACATGGGAGACAGAGGCAGGTGACTCTCTGTGAATTTGAGGCCAGCCTGGTCTACAGAGTGGGTTGTAGGACAGCCATAGTGAGACCCTGTTTAAAATCAAGTGGAGAGCGGGTGAGATGGCAGGGTGTTTGTCACCAAGCCTGATGACTTGAGTCTGATCCTTAGGGCGCATATGGTGGGAGAAGAGAGTGGACTTTCTAATAAGTTGCCCTCTGTTGTGTTCGGATTCCCAGCATCCACATGAAGAGTTGGCTCAGAGGGGAGCACTGGCTGCTCTTCCAGAGGACCCAGGTTCAATTCCCAGCACCTACATTGCAGCTCATACCTGTCTATAACTCCAGTACCATGACTTGTGACTCCCTCACACAGACATACATGCAGGCAAAACACCAATGAACATAAAGTAAAAATAAATTATATAAAAAATTTAAGGTGAGAAAAATAAACATATATCACTTTATATGGATATACATACTATATATCTATATCTATACATAAAGACAGCAAACCTATCTGCCTTCTCCTTCAAGTTAATGGAACAGCAACTCCAGTGTGAGCTAGGGAGGATTATGATAGCAGCAAGTTGGGTGCCAGGGGATTTGAACCACCTGCCCATGCCATTTCCTGTGCTTTCTGGACTTGTCCAGACCTGAACTCATAGCTGCTTAATAATAGAATGCCAGCATGTGTGTCCAATCTTATGAGATGGGTCAGATAATCTCCAGTTCTGGTTACAGGGGTCGCTTGGTGTCCCACAGTCAAGCACTCTGCTCCTACCATGCCCAGTGTGAGCCAGGAGCCACTTTTCAAATGGAGAATAGTTATTGGCACAAGTTGCTGGCATGGTTTAATAAAACCCCCCGAGGGTCTGTAATGCCAGAGTCTCCACTGGCGCTTGTCCGCCCACCATCTTTCTGCCATGATCTCGTCTCACTTGCCTGGGCAGTGTCCTCTGCAGCCCACACCTGCTTCAGCGCCTCGCTTCCCCAAAGTCACAGTCTCGTGGAGTTCATAGAAAATGACTTTGGCAGCACACCTGGATGTGGTATCCATTGTCCGTCCCCCCACCCATCCCAAATTCAAAGTCCCACAGAAGCCCATCCATCCTTTGCCTCTGTCTTTGATGAGGGCAGTGTGAAGTTTGGCCCCTTGTCTCCCATCTTAGAGGAAAGATCTTGACCGGCCCTGGACCACCGGATCCCCGTGAAGCCTCTTTGACATGGCAGTCCCTAATTTTTCGTGATACTTAATCTCCTTCCTTTATTGACTTTTTTAAAATTTGCATTACGTTTTTATTTACTTTGCATGCACGAGTGTGTGTGCTTGTAGGGGTCAGAGGACAACTTGTGAGTGGGTGTTCTCTTTCCACCATGTCGATCTTGAGGATCAAACTCAGATTGTCAGCCACCTCATGGCCCAATTCCTTAGCAAACATTCCAAGAATGCCCATCCTTTATAGCTTCCTACTCACTGGGCCCAATTATCACCCCATTGGCAAGGTAATGGGCTGGCCTAGTGTTTAGAATTTTATCATGATGTTTGATGACCCTTGAGTTATCACATGATAGAAAAAAAGAATATAGGCAGAGCCAAGAGGTGACAGTGAGGTAAACATTTGGGGACTGTCTTGGTCACTGTTCTATTGCTGAGAAGAGACACCATGACTGTGAGGACCCGCCCAGAGTCCTGATGTCATCTTGCATAAAGCCCACTTTAAGAGAAAACTCTTCTTTGCCCTCTCCTCTCCCTCTATTCCCATGAGGTGTGCACCTCCTCTCTCCCTCTCCTTTCTCCTTCCATCCAATCCCTGTCCCCTCCCCCCAAAATAAACTTTCCGTGTGGACATGTATCTGCATAGTGTGATACCGCTCCACACTGCAGCA